TTCTTCTATTAATAACAGACTGTGAAGATCCATGGCAGGAACTACACAGGGGATTATAAGATGGTTTATGTTCTCCTCAAGGAAATATCTATGCAAATATAACAGGACTAGATATGAATAAAGGATATGGTAGGCTCACTTTTCATTATTAGTTAAGTTTGGCTCTCAGAATAGAAAATTTTGGTGTTTTGTAACTTACAAAGTAGTGTAACTTTCCCACCAAAAACTTAGAGGTATATCTGCTGAATATGGTTATAAGATTTTTTCACTATTAAGTGTGGAAAGGTTTTCAATATATTTTTATTGATTTCAGAGAGGAAGGTTGAGGGAGAGAGAGATAGAAACATCAATGATGAGAGAGAATCATCGATTGGCTGCCTCCTGCATGTCCCACACTAGAGATGGAGCCCGCAACCTGGGCATGTGCCTGACTGGGAATCAAACTGTGACCTCCTGGTTCATACTAGTAGGTCGAAGTTCAACCACTGAGCAACACTGACTGGGCTCAGTATAGTTTTAAGCATATTTTTCCCATTTATTTGAACAGGTGACTTATTGTAAACTGGTGATGCTTTGAACTTAAATGCAGAACTTTACATTTATTTACTATCTCATTGTTTTCCTTATAGTGATCTTGGGAGAAAGGAGGAAATATATTATTAGTTCCATTTTTATTGATAAAAATGGTGTCTTGCAAGGAAACTTGCCTAAACGTAAATAGCAACCTAGTGGTCCAGTTAAATACCAGAACTTGGGCATTTTTAATTTGGTGAGACAATGTCTAACACTGATTAATGACTTAGAAATACATTTATTTGGTGACTTTTGCTGAAAACACATAGTTGATAAAAGAAATACAACGAGTATTTAATTTATTCCTCTCTTTTTACTTCATCCCTATCAAAGATTCCTTCATGTTTTTGTGTAGCTCCTTAGTTATCAGTAGCATTATTCTGCATCCAGCTATTCACATCAGTCACATAACAAAAAAGATCTGCATTTGTTCTTGCTTCTTGCCTTAATGATAGAGACATTACATTTCAGATTCACATGGTTCTTTCCAAATCTCCGGCTATAACATGCACTTGTCTTACTAAACTGAACATTTGCTCAGTTTGAATCTCAATTTCAGTTGTTTATATCTAGTGTTTAAATGGGAATTTTCTGGTGACCAAGCTGGGAATTACTGCACATCTTAGCTTTTACTTAAAAGGTACAATTAGAAGATGAGAAAACAGAGTTTCAAGAAGCATTTCCTCCCCCTCCCCCCAGAAGATTCTCTAAATATTTTGCTTAGTTGTCTCTTCTGCAGATATTTCTGTAGTAAATGGCACCTTCCTTTGAGGTGGAATTGAGCCTCTGATTATGAGTCGCAAAGGCTCTTTAAGGACCTGAAATAGCTGAGAAATGCTTACCTGTAAATACATTTTTTTCTTTATCTGTCATGTGTAACCCTGATGTGATGGTTTATTACCTATCCTCATATAGAGATTGGTGTGGGCAGATGCTGCTGACAAATTTGTCATTTCCAGCCCAGAGCTACAAAATTCCTTGTCCAAGGGCATGGAATCCACTAACTCAGTATTAACATTCAAAAAATGCCAAAGACAGTTCTGTTCTCTCAAGCATTCCGCTTGGTCTAATTGAGCTTTGCTAACCTTTTCTCTTTGACAGAACAACTTTGAATATGTGTCAGGAGGGAGCTCTATAAATATTTATTGAATAAAACAGCTTGTTTGGATATGAAATGAGTTTAGAGACAGGAATTAAGGCCAGTAAAACTCTAACTTTCTGGTGTGGAAAATGTGTGCCGAGAGAATGAGAATGCCCAACATCACATTTTAAAAAATAGCCACTTTTGTTTTTAGTATTCAACTTAATGTAGTTTGTATTAAAAAAATAGAACTTTCAAAAAAATTTAGGGGGATGGAAATCTTCAATTTATTCATCATTTATTCATTTGTCTGTTCATTTATTCATTCCTCCAAGTTTTTTAAGAGTTAAGGTCTCCTATAAAATACATATTTAATCTTTTAAAACCATATTTTTATTAATTTTAGAGAGGAAGGGAGAGGGAGAGAGAGATAGATACATCAATGATGAGAGAGAATCATTGATAAGTTGCCTTCTGCATGCCACCCACTGGGGATTGAGCCTGCAACCCTGGGCTTGTGCTCCGACTGGGGAATCGAACCATGAATTCCAGGTTCACAGGTTGATGCTCAATCACTGAGCCGTACCAGTTGGGCCATATGATGTATATCCTATATAATAAAAGGCCAGTGACCATAACGGCGTAACGACCAGAATGACTGATCGACCTGTCGCTATGAGGTGCATTGACCACCTCTTGGTCCCTCCTCCCAGCCCACAGGCTCTGAAAGCTGGATGGGGAACCACTGGGAACTGGGGTGGGCGGTGGTGGGGTGGGACTAGGGACTGGCGAGTGGGAGGAAGATGGCCTTGATCGCAGGCTTGGCCAAGGGACCCTACCAACACACGATTCTGTGCACTGGGCCTCTAGTTTAATTATATTAAAGATATCCACAAAAAGGAAGAAAAATATAACAAATCCTGAGGATGATTATAACTAGGTCCTGAGTTTTCTAATAATCAGCACAAAGAGGGAATGCTGACCAATTACATGTTTCATTTTCATATAATTAATTCATTTTCGTATAACAAAAGCAAATAATTTATTAAAAGCAACACAACAGTTTTCTGGATGTGAGACCCCAGAGAAGATTTCCCTCTAGATATTGTAAGACATGAGAAAAAAACAATTGTTGGGGAAGCCAGAAAAATGAAATTGGAAGTTAAAAATATATTCATCCTTTTATCATTAGCAAACCATGTGATTATGCTATTACTTATAGTAACAGATAGTCATATCATTACTGAGCTAGTAACTCTAGGAAAAATGGGAAAATAGAGAATTAGTGTTAGCTGCCTAGAATTGGCTCTAAAAATGTCACCTCTACAGAGGACTTTCCTCTCCCCACTCTCTAAGACAGCCTTTCATTCTGCTCTATGTCACTTTATATTACTCAGCATTATCCTAAATTACAATGTTCTGTTTACTCAATGATGATGTCTCACTAGAATCTAACAAGAGAGTCCCATCCTCACTGCATGCCACCCACTGTTGGGAGGCTTCAGTTGGTTGGAGCATCGTCCAGTACACAGAAATGTCCACATGAAAACTACATGATACTATTAACCAATGTTACCCAAATAAATTTAATAAAAAAGAGAACCATCTTGTGACATGAAAATCTAGTTTAGAAAAAATAATTATTCACCTTTACTAGGTAAAAAGATTTTATAAAGCAGTTATATCATCCTATCACTAAATCAAGTATAGAAAAGGTTAACAAGAAATAGCATATGACTACAGATATAAAAAAGCACACTTTGAATACTAGTAAAGTCAGGTTTGTACAAACATCAAGAACCCCTACCAGCCATTCCCACAGTTACACAGGTCAAATATTAGGAATCATCTTCGGTTTTCCACTTTCCCTTACACCCTTACAAACCACACTTCACCAAATCCTGGGGCTCTGTTTTCAAAATACATATTTAATAGAGGTGATCATTAATGTTCAACAAACGTCCCCATTCTTTTTCACATTTCCCAGTCCCTATGCAGTTAGGTTGAAATCACAGAATTAATTCAAGTCCAATGAGTTAGAATAACAATAGTGAGCATCCTTCCAGTTCAAGATAATTAAGAGCTCATGTACCTCCAAAGGTTGTGGGTTTGATCCAGGGTTGGGGTGCATATGGGAGGTAACAAATCAGTGTTTTTCCTTCACATCGTTGTTTCTCTCTCTTCCTTTCCCTATCTCTAAAATTAATAAGCATGTTGTCAGTTGAGGATTAAAAATAAAGGAGAGTCCCATGTATACCACTTTACCAGAATCTTTAAGAGTGAGTGCCACATAGCAACAAAAATAAATGTTAAACAAATGAAGATGTCTTAATTAATACACATTGGCATCTGTCTTTGTTTCTCTTTCTTTCTCTCTCACTCCCCTTCTCCTTCTTGTTCTCTCTACACACTGTCTCTTCTTTTTTCTCCATGCCTTTGCTTTATATTTTTCTCTTAAAGACTGGTTTCTGTTTCTGAGTTCATATAGCAGCCCCACAGCTTCCAAAATAATGTGTTCTCTCACTAAATTGTAATCCCATCACTATATATTTGCCCCCTTTACTCTGTATATTCAGGGTTAAGCACCACCAGTATCAACCCTCATAGATAATTGTAGCAACAAACACAGAAAGACAACGAAACTGGGCTATATTTCAGTTGAGTGGAGAATTTACCTGGTGATTTTGGGGAGAGGAGTGACATGATTTGGTTGTTTAATATTAATTGCTTAGGCTGCTCTATTGGAAACACATTGCATGGTATTTAAAGAAACAAGATTAGCTAATGTCAGCACCAGTGTGGGGAGATAAAAGAAGGGAAAGGACTGGCATGTGCGTCCTGGGGAAGTTAGAGAAATGACAAGAGGAAGAAATCATGGCCAGTGAAATAGATGAAAAACCGGAAGACTATAATCTGTGAATAATGTGTTTTAAGGACGATGAGCAATAAAGTGGACGTCACGACAGGATGGATTCTCTGAGAAGAGGACTCTGAGACCAGTTTCCCATCTGCAGAGTTTATTAAGGAATGCTGGTGGGAGAAAAGGGGAGGAAGCAACACGGGCAAAGAAAGATGGAGCTGCAGTGCAGATCTGATGACACCTTTGATTGATCTCACAGAGTTAAAATGGCCCATCAAAAATCTCCTCTGTTGGGCTGAAATGGCTAAGCTTTTTAAAAAAAAAAAAACCACAAAAATATTTACATCAATATAGTTTATAATAGTGAAAAACTAAAAAGGAACTAAATGTCCCATTGTAAGAGAATAGTTGAAGTTTATATTCATTTCATAGAAAACAGGCAACTATTAAAAATAACGTGAAAATTATTCATATTGGCAGGTAAAAATATTAGGATACTTGGTGTTTGCTATGTGTCAGAAGTTTTTGTGAACACATCACATATGTAAGTGTGAACCCTCAACAGTCTTGTGAAGAAGACACTAATATTATGCACATGAGGAAACCTAGGCACGGAAAATTTATGGTATCTTGATCGAGGTCATAAAGAAAGTAAATGGCAAAGGTGAGATTTGAGCCCCACATTGAGGCTTCAGAACCTGTACTCTTAACTGACATGAGATGCTGCCTTATATCTGGAGTACTGTGACTACGTTTGGTGAGGTAAACTTTTATTTTGTCTGCTTGAGGAAAGCTTTGGTTTCTGTGACTTGAAGGAATTAATGGGTTCATTTACGTAAGGAGCAAGGAGCATCTGGAGAGGGAAAGGACTGAGACCTGACTCCTTTCTCCTAAGCCAGTTGTGCTGAGGTGGCTCTGGGTGAGGCTGGGATCAGGCCAGAGCAATATGACTCCAGAGATAAGCTTTCAATAAAAGCAGAGAGGCACGGAATGATCAGGTGAGCTCTCCACTGCTCTAAAGCAACAGGTCCAAAGGGAGTGGTGTGAGTCTATGGGTGATAGAGGAATGGGTAACAGGGATATGCTCTATGCTAGCCATGCTGTGTCCCAGCAAAGTAGATTTTGTGACTGAATCTGAAGTTACAATCTTGGGATCCAGGGCTAATGATAGTGTGAAACATCCTTAGCTCCCATAACACTATGGAAAGGTTTTCCTCTCTCTACCTGTCCCTGGAGTGGGGGGAGGTGGTAACTATTTCTCTTTCTAGTTCTCCTCCTTCTCCTCCTCCTCCTCTTTCACTTCATCCTCTTCCTTCAAAAAAAGCAAACAAATAACAAAAAAACCTCAGGCCTAATCATAAAGCATTGGAAATGTACAGGATGGTGATGTATTCCAACATCCACATGTCACAGTAGCAACTCTGCCTTTTTGCAAGGTTTGATTCAACTCCAGCATATGTTTTGGGAACTGTTTGGACCAGACTAATTAGCTCTGGTAGCTATTATGGAGTCTTTCATTTCAAGGGAACACATATATATGTCCGGCTAAAGTAAGGAAATTAGAGCAAACAGGACCTGTTCTTTAATTGAGAGAATTATGGGTGAAGTGTGTGTGTGTGTGTGTGTGTGTGTGTGTGTGTGTGTGTGTGTGTGTGTGTGTATGTGCGCGCGCACTCATGTGTGAAGAGCATGGCATGATTCAAACTTCAATATTGTGCTTTGGGACCAAACTGTAAAGATAAACATTATGGTGACAATAGATGATTGATGCTTTGCAAAACAAAAGAAATTATATGAGAAAGAAAACAAAAATGTTAATGAGGATTGTATTATGATGGTGGTTATTGGGGTATTAAAATGTTTATATCCAAGCTTTTCTTTAAAGTGTAAGTAGGCATTGCTTTTCAAACAAAAAAGTAAAGGTAACCTTATTTATCATTTTATCTATAACTATTGTTGGGGAAAGACATATTGTCTTATGTTTTCTTCAAACCATTTCTTAAACATATTGTTTCAATCCATCATTTAAATGTATTTATTCATTAATTCACTAGATCTTTTGAAGAAGAATCATTTTCAGAAAAAAATTATTTACTGTCTGCATGGAGTGAACAGGACTTCAGCATTTGATCTGTATGGTGTACTGCCTTCTAAACAGGACCTTGGGGAAACACTAAGGATGTGCATTTATGATGTACGTACACAGTGAAATCTTTCAGAAGTCAACACTTTACACACTTCATCTCAAAATGCCCACATCAACCACGCATTAAAATTTAGTGGTTCAGGGAAGTGCTCACCAAGTTCATCCCCACAACCTCTTACAGGGAGCAAGGATAATTCTATAAAGTTGTTCCCTGCATTCCTCTTTAATGCGTACTTTAGGCATATGAAAATAAAATTAAGGGAAACAAAGTAAATTGCCAAATTCTATCATATGTTAATTTTTTTCATTCTTCTGAAGCTAAAATGATTTAGATTTTGCTTTAACTGTTGCTTGGGGTTGTTTCACTATAGAAAATCACCAGGATGAGTATATTCATTCAGACATCAGTGTGTGACTTCTACCAGCATACTGATTACTTTTCAGAGAGGTAACTTGCAGGTGTCAGTAAAATACCTTGCTTTTCCTAATGCTAATTTCATGGTCTTGGGGAAGGATAATAGAGTGCAGGATACATGCTAAATCTCAATAAACAAATTGGGGTGTATGTTACCTTTGGGAAGTTTAAATACTTAATAGTAGACCTCTTCTACCCTTTGGAGCAGTGGTAGATGGTTGGATCATTGTGGATGGTTCATGTGGCGCACTGCACAACTCCCAGGGGGTGCCATTCACTGTACTCTCTTGTGAATGCCGCCTTTTGAGGTTGTGTGATGCATCTGGAAAAAACATCAACCGTCACAATGGTATAATGAAAAGAACATTGCTCTGAGGGCTAAAAGCATGTAATTCCTTCCCTGACTTTGCTAATGCTGAGCCATTATCTTGATGGAAATTTTAAAGAATAAAAGCATAATCTGGGTAATCACTCTATATCAGTAATGGCTGTCCTACTTTAGTACCTGTTTTTCCAATTTGTTTAACATCATGTCAGCAAGATGGAGACAGTTGAAATGACAGCATTTTGCATTTTAAAAATAATAGCTTTGAGATAATCCACACAAGATACCATTCACCTATTTGAAGTGTACAATTCGTTAGTTTTTAGTATATTGACAGTATTGTACAATCATCAAACCAATTTTAGAACATTTTCATCACCCCCAAAGAACATTTTCATCACATACCATTGGCAGTCAATCCCCATTTCTCTCCAGCTTCTCTACACCCACATCCCAGCTCTGGGAAACCACTAATCTACCTTTTGTTTCCATAGATTTGTTTATTCTGGACTTCTCATACAAATGGAATCATACCTCAGGTAGTCTTTTGTGACTGACTTCTTTCATTTAGCATAATATTTCCTTGGTTTATTAATGTTGTAGCATATATCAATACATCTATCTTTTTTATTGATGAATGATATTCCCTTGTATGTATAGACCACAGTTTGTTGATCAGGTCATCAGATAACGGGCATTTTGGCTATCCCAACTCTTTGGCTATTATGAATAATGCTGGTAGTACATTTGTGTCCAAGTTTTTTGTGTGAACATGTATTTTTATTTTTGGTATATATCTAGGAGTAGAATTGCTGGGTCGAATGGTAACTCTGTGTAACATTTGGGACAGAGTTCAATTGTTTTCCAAGGTAGCTGCACCATTTTATAGTCCCACTAGCAGTGTATGATGGTCCCAATTTCTCCACATCTTCAAGAACATTTATTATCTGTGTTTTTGATTATAGTATTCTAGTGTGTATAAAGTGGCATGTTGGGTTTCTATTTGCATTTCCCTAATGCCTAATGATATGCTCACTGGGCATTTGTATATCTTCTTTGGAGAAATGATGCTATCAGTGTCAATATTCTAATTTGGATACTGTACTATAATTTTACACAATGCTACCATTGAGTGAAACTGGATAAGTGTGCACAGGATCTCCCTATATTATTTATAAAAACTGTATGTGAATATAAAATTATTTCAAAATAAAAGGCTTAAAAACATACAAAAAAACCTCCAGCATATCCTTTTATATTTATCTATAGAGTGATGTTTAAATAAGCTTATACTCATAATATATCTAGGCATCTTCCTTGTGATGAGTAGGAATTGACTTCATAAATAACAATAATGTTTAAAGCTCAGACACTTACTCATAAATTATGTATAAAAATTAAATCAGCTCCACAGCTCTATGTGTGACTACTGCAGTCATTGAGTTGAGAGATCAGTATAATGCTTAGGGGAATTTCAGGTAGTGTAAAGACAGCCAAAAGTGAAGCCACAAATCTGACACTCACAGTAACCCTAAAGACATGTTATACACAACATACATGCCTAATACTGACTTTAAATAATGAAGAATTCTCCCTAGCCAGTTTGGCTCAGTGGATAGAGCATCGGCCTATGGACTGAAGGGTCCTGGGTTTGAGTCCAGTCAAGGGCACATGCCTGGCTTGTGGGCTTGATCCCCAGTAGGGGGCATCTAGGAGGCAGCCAATCAAAGATTCTCTCTCATCATTGATGTTTCTATCTCTCTCTCTCCCTTCCTCTTTTAAATCAATAAAAATATATTTAAAACAATAATGAGGAATTCAACAGAAATACAGAAAATTTAATATATATTATTTTGCCTTGAGTAAATAGGATCTAGATTATCAGAGATTTAATTTTATATTTTTATTTTATACATTATCTTTTGTGCTTCTAGGGAAGTTGAAGTCAGCAAGATAAATTATGCTAACGGCTGTTATTGACTCTTAAAGTCTTGTGGTAGAATCTCTGTCTTTATAATTCCACTAATTCAATATTCAGGCCCACAAAATGATTTCTGTGTGATGATGTTCTATGCCGGGGTCCAACCCCAGCAGGTCCAGGGGTCCCCAAAGGTGTGGACGGAGTCGGCGAAGAAGGAATGGCACGGTGACAGCGTTCAGTTGATCAGCAGCCTAGCCAGGATCTCTAGCCAGGATCTCCAGCCAAGTTCTGGTCTGGATCTCTAGCCAGGTTCTGTGTCCATGTTCTTTTGCTAGGTTCTCCAGCCAAGTTCTGTAGCCATGTTCCCTCACTAGGTTCTCCAGCCAGGTTCTGTCCAGGTTCTCCAGCCAGGTTCAGTCACCAGGTTCTAGTCAGGTTCTCTTGCCATGTTCTATCCAGGTTCTGTAGCCAGGTTCTGTCTCTAGGTTCTTCAGTCAGGTTCTCTCGCTAGGTTCTGTCTCTAGGTTCTGTTGCCAGTTTCTGTCCAGGATCTTTTGCCATGTTCTCTCCAGCGAAGTTCTTCTGTCTCTAGGTTCTGTGTAGGTTCTGTCTTCTAAGTTCTGTCTTCCAAGTTCTGTGTTGTTACATCTGTATTTATACCAGTTGACTCCAATCCTATCAATCTCTATTACAAAGGTTAGGGCGTTTCTTATCTCCATTCCAGGGAGTAAAGATTATGTAGCTTAAGCATGATTGTTCGTAGTTAAAGTGATTAATTACCCGCCTGGCACTTAGTTAAGAGGTTTTATTCCCTCCCTAACTTCAGGGGAAAATCCCTATCTGGGGAAACAACCTTTCTCAGAGACCTTGGTTAAAACACATAGTGCCAAGAAGGTGAGCAAACATATTAAGAACAGTATGCCATATATGCCAGGTCCCTTGAAACAGCAAGGATGGACTGGCTCCTGGCAGTTCTATGAACATACTTTTATGGTTATTTTAGGGCTCTCTATGGTCAATGCTTACCAGTATAATATGCTGTATTATGTGGTTAAATTCACAGAAGAGTTTATCACTTGTATTCTCAAATCTGCATATCCAATGGCAAAGCTAACTGTTCTGTGTGGTATGTGACTTGAACACTGACATTTTCACTCCTATTGACCCTGTATTAGCAGAAACTACATAATTTTAAAATCGGCTTCCCAAACTAAGTTGCATGTTTGCTAATGCCTTGGTTTCCTGCCCATTATCTTGCTATTCAAGCTTGCAATCAAATCTTAGATTCTGTGTGCTGCTAAGAGCCTTCCTGACCATTTGGGGTTCCATGTTACCTGCTCTGGAGTCCACTTTTTAAGCACATGCATAACCATTTTACCAGGTGTACCAGTTAATAATGCGGATTTTTTTTCAATAGATGGAGCTACACATATGTTGATATATATGTGATTTGATATGTATGCTATTTTGTTGTATTGACAGCAAGCTTCAAAACCTCATATGTCAAATTTTGTGAAGGTGTTAACATCATATATATTTTTATGCTTAAAAATGTTGAATTTCGTGCCAAAAAAAGAGCATTTGTGGGAAGTTTTAATTCATTACTTTGTTTTGAAGAAAAGTGCTGCTGAAAGTTATTGTGTACTTTGGGAAGCTTATGGTGAACATGTTCCATCTCAAGATACTTGTGAACGCTGGTTTAAACACTTTAAAGGTGATGATTTCGATGTGAAAGACAAAGAACATCCAGGTCAACCAAAAAAGTTTGAAGACCAACAATTACAAGCATTATTGGATGAAGATGCGTGTCAGACTCAAAAACAACTTGCAGAAAGATTAAATGTTGCTCAGCAAACAATTTCTGATCGTTTACAAGCAATGGGAAAGATTTTAAAGGAAGGAAAATGGGTGCCACATCAACTGAACGAAAGACAAATGGAAAACCGAAAAGTCATCAGTAAAATGTTGCTTCAACGGTATGAAAGAAAGTCTTTTTTGCATCAATTTGTGACTGGCGATGAAAAGTGGATTTATTTTGAGAATCCCAAACACATAAAATCATGGGTTGACCCAGGTCAACTATCAACATCGACTGCAAGGCCAAATTGCTTCGGAAAGAAGACAATGCTCTGCCTTTGGTGGGAACAGGAAGGTGTGGTGTATTATGAGCTTCTAAAACCAGGTGAAACCATTAATACTGATCGCTACTGATAACAAATAATTAATTTGAACCACGCTTTGATCATGAAACGACCAGAATGTGCCAGAAGACATGGCAAAGTAATTTTGCTTCATGATAATGCACCATCACACACTTCAAAACCAATTAAAAGACATGTTAAAAGATCTTGCCTGAGAAGTATTAACTCACCCTTCGTATTCATCAGACCTTGCTCCTTCAGATTACCACTTGTTCCGATCAATGGCACACGCACTTTCTGAGCAGCACTTCAAAAGGGACGAAGTGGAAAATTGGGTCTCTGAATGGTTTACCTCAAAACAAGAAAAGTTCTATTGGGACGGTATCCACAAATTACCTGAAAGATGGGGGAAATGAGTAGCTAGCGATGGACATTACTTTGAATGAAGCACTTTTGATGTTTCTCTTGAAATTATCATGTTTTCTTTGATTACAAAATCCACATTATTAACAGGTACACCTGGTAGGCTTCTCTCGGTCTCTGGGTCTTGCATGCTCTGTTGGTAATGACACCTTTGTCTTGACAGAAGCCAGGCCAAAATTTGCAAATAAGCCGTCATATATATTTTGAGATCAACCAAATTTTTAAAAGGAGGATGAAAATATAAAAAATTATACTGTTATATTTATTTTGGAATGAATAAGAGTTCAATAGTTATTTACTGGCTGGAATAGTTTTTATATTTGCATATTGACCCAAGAGCTCCATTATACAGTATATATGTCAAATTGTATAAATTGAGTACCACAAATAGATGCGGAGGCAAAGCATAAAAGATGGACAAGAAAAAAATCTGGCATCCCACCCTACTAAGCTGTATCTTTTAATGAATTGCCCCTTTAACCTGTTTCTCTGCCAATTACTGTCACTGAATCATATTAACATAAAGCTCTGTTTCTAAGTTATTTGTTGCTTTAAGGTCATACATCTTCAGTTTTCTTTGCTTTGGCTTAACTATGTGACTTCTAACATAATTTATACATTGCTATAATCAATAAAATATTGAAACAATGGGGTTTATGGTCTCAGTGTTTATGTAATAATCATTTTTATCTTCCAAGTAGAAAATACAGGTCTGAGAATAATAAAATACTAAAAAAGAAGTTATTTATTTCTCTGAAGATTTATGCAAGCGTTTTATTTGAAATTGGCAGTTTAAAAAATATAATTTTGCATTGTTTTGAGCATAAAAAAATGCTTTAAGTTAGATTCTTTTCTTTTAATCATATTTTGTCTGATCTAAGTATGTCTGCTGAACACAAAAATCCCCATGGGAATCTTCTTGTCACCATAGCAACCAGATTGCAGTTTCCAATATCTATGTAATGAAGTGCAGACATGTTTTCAGCACAAAGTGCTAAATTGAGGTTTGCTTCACTAATTTAATTAGCTGGCAAAAATAATCAATTCCTTCAT